TATGGAAAGCCTGACAAGAACTAACTAAGTTATTGGTAACTAGTTGCTGTAAATGACTGACAGTAAAGCACAGCTAGACTCCATTGCTGCAAAGATGTGTTCATTACCAAGTTTGCTTCCCACAAACAGGAAATATTTTTCATCAGGGCCCACCACAAGAATCAATCACTAACCAAGCAGAAATGCTAGCAAGACCAGATGACTGAACTAGGCTGGCGTAATTCACATTTAAAATCATCCAGAACAAAAATATCACCCCTTTCTGCACCTATTTATTATATTTCAAGTCAACCAACCCTTTATGATTTTTATTTGGACTCCTCATGGCATGGCCTGGTCTCTGTACAGCAGTTACTATGAACAGCATCACTGGGAGAGGTGCAAGATGATTCTTTTGACAGACACGAGGCAAGTATTAGTATAACAAGTTGTTTTCTTCGTTTACACAAGGCTATTCTTCCCTAAAATTATGCTCATGAACCACCACTTCCTCTCCAGCTAAGCAGATGCCCCAGAAATTTTGGAAATATCCTGAGAATAGAAAGGTCACTTAATGACAGTCAGTTAAAACCACTCAGTTCTTAGTTTTGTTTGCTCTAACTTGAACTCCCACCTTAGAACAGCAGCTCCTTACCATAAGGTGGTGGCTTGAAGGTGCAGATATCATGGATAACTGTCTTTAGATTGGCAATTATTTGCTCAGTAGGCATATCCAGCTGGAAAAAGACAATGCCAGGTTAGACATGGCAGTACTTGAAGCCTAGATGAACAAACCTGAAAACACTGGGTATGTATTTATCCTACACTCGGGTAGATTTTCCTTCTCCATGTTCCCTGTTAAGGAGTTCAAAATCCCATTAGCAGCCCCACAATGAAGACAGGCAATGCTCAGAGGGTTTCAAGTATTTCAACACAGCTCCCACACCTAAATAAACATCCCAGCTTCCAAACAAGCATTCCACACTAAATCCTGGTGTGCACACAATCAGCTGTCTCCCTGTTCAAAGTTTGGAACAATTCTCTTGGGATCAGGTGTTTAGTACCCTTCCTTCTTGTGCCACCATCATTTAGAGGAAAACCAAACATCAGGTAGGATTGAAAAGAGACAAATCAGAAGGAAAAAGAAAAAACACACAGTTTGGGGCACAGAAAATAAATAAATAAGCAGAAATTAATGTTATATTTCAGGTGTAACACAGTTCTTTCTGCTCCGGTCCAGAACTACAGTTATCAAAATTAAAAGTCATTAATTATTTGGGCAAAGCAAAGACTTTTTCATCCTTCTGTCCATATTGACCATGGACTTACAAACCCATGGTTTATTTACTTAAAAAAAAAAAAGGGGGGTTAAAACCAGCTGAAGATGCTGCACAACAAAGAGTTCCATCTCCTTCACAGGTCAGTTAAAGAACACGGTTAAAAATCTTGGGCAACAGATTGAAAACATCTTTTTTTTTCCCCTTCTTTTAATACTAACTTGAGTTCTGCTCAGGAAACTCTCAATTCAACTTACCCTGGCTATCCTTGTCTTGATTACACTCTCATCTTGCACGGCGTACTCGTGACATTCTCTGAAGAGCTGCACCATTTTGGGAATATCACTGCCCAGGGAATCTATTTTAAAAAAAAAAAAAAGCAAAAAAAGGCAAAAAGAGTTGTGTGAGTGATGCTTATTAGCACAGATAAGTGTGGTATTAGTACAGTGGTAATTAATTAAGGCAGCTGAACTCCACTCCAAAATGCAATTTCACAAACAAGACAGTGGTGTCCTCAGGGGTATTACAGAAACAGTTTCCATCTTCCCTCCTTCCTCATTCATCAGGATTAATTAAGGGCAATTAGTAGGCAAATTTATCCTGGTTCTAATCCCGGATTTGCCTGTTGTAGGAGAAAAGTACAAATCTGGATTCCTAACATTTCCTTTACCTAAGACAGAACAAGTGGTGCAGTCAAACACAGTCCAATACTCAACATAATTACACATCCTCGTCAATAAAACCTTTCAGTGGCACCTCCAGACTTAAATCCTCTTCAGCAATTGAGAGCTGCAAGGAAGAATCACTTCTTACTTTTTCTGGTGCTCGGGAATTTCCGTTTCAGTTTGTTCCTCAGTGGTATTAGCTTGGGTATTATGGCAGGAACAGCCACGTAGAAATCTGCTTGGATTTCATCCTCCAAGATCTGCAACAAAAACAACTCAATATATTTAGCACACAGGTGGACCTACAAAGCTGTCTGAGCACACAAACCCATCCCTCACTCTTCACATTGGCAAGCTGGAGTTTACTGGACATCAGGTTTCTTCCCCTCCCCAGGCCTAAATACAGTTTAAATTAGGCTACATATATAATTCTCAAAAAAATTAAGATAAAAACCAATACCCATTTCATTAATTCAAGTCCCCCCACGATCTCAGCTCCACTCTCCCGAGCTATTTCAGCTTCTTGCTCATTCTGTTGAGAGAAAAACATAGCTATGAACAGCTGTACTACCAATTAGTCTGTACCAAAAAGGCTTCACTTCTGTAAAAACTTTGGCTCAAGCTTTTGCTCCAGGACAAAAATCGATTCTTTTGGACTGTCTCATACAGATATAGGGAAATCTGTTCTGCTAGGATGATTAAGTGGCAAAGCACAGCTGCAGGAGTTTTCTGGACACATAAAACACATGCAAATAAAGTTAATTCAGGCTCACCCACCTCTGTGAAAACCAAAACCTTATTCACTTCATCTGTAAAGCGATGGGGAAGGACGACGGCACCCGAGAAAGGATCCAGCTTTTTCTAGGAAGTGAATCAAAAAAACAATAAAAAAAACAAAGAGAAATCATGACTCAAGGGCGAGTTACAAATCCAAACGAGGTGAAGAAGCGAAACAGTGACCCCAGAACAAAGCACAGCGAGGTGTGCTGGCAAAACCACGCAAGCGCAAAGTCTGGAGCAGATTTAAACCCTTAAAAAAAAAAAAAACCCCGCCAAGATCCCTTACACCCTTCCAGACCTAACCTTCTTCAGGGCCATATCCAGGAACACATTGATATAGACAAACTGCTTGGGGTGAGTGAAGTCCAGCTGCTGGAACTTCTTCAGCATGCCCACGGCCTGCTCCAGGTCGTAGAAGGGGCGCCGGTAGAGCCACGTCAGGTACACGTCGTCCACAGGCTTGGTCATCAGCGGCCGCCGCCGGCGGGAGGGTTTGTCCTTGGCTTTCTCCTGCTTGGTCCACTGGGCACCTTTTTTGGTAGGTCTAAGACAAAAAAAAAAAAAACAAAACAAACAAACCCCTGTTAGGTCATCAGTTGAAGATTTTGGCCTGTCAAGAACATGGTGTGTCGCTTGTTAAGGACCTGCTGCTGCACCAAAGCAAAACCAGCATGAGGGGAACACACCCCCTGGTCTGGCCTTCACCTGGGCTGGCCTAAACTGGGAAAATCCAACAGGGAAGGCATGACTGCAAGGTTTCTCTTCTTCTTGTTGTAGCAGTCTCACCTTATAAAAAAGGTTTCGCCTCCCTTCCCTGCAGCATTTTGCATGCAGTTAAACACCAGCCCCAATTTTCACCCTTCTTCCTATTTCCAGAGGGTCTCAAGGCATGGAAAAAAATATTAAAATGTTTTTCTAAAAATTAATAACTAGACACTCCATTCCTGTCTAACCATGGCAACAGAGTCTGCAGCACTTCAGAACACTCGGTGTACAACACTGTTCACACTCCTCTCAAAAATCACACTCACACTGTACACTGAGGTCCTTCTCACTTCTCCGAGTCATGCTGTGCTATTAAAGAGACAACAAATTAAACACTAAAAAGCAAACTGGAGATGAGGAAGTGTTTGAAACCGAGCCCACGAGCTCAGCAGCCTTCATGCTGTAACCCTGCCACGGCCCCCAAAAGCACATCTCGAAAACACCCGCTCAGTCTTTCCCCGTAACCGTGACACTCTTTATGACAACTGTTTACGCCACCAAGGCCACTGGGCTGTTGAAGCAACACTGCAGACACCAAGAACGCCCCCCACACACGCCCCTACCACCACTCCCGCGGCCTTGGGAGCCTCCCGGGATGCCGGACTCGCACTCACTTGGCTGCCGCCGCGAAGGGCCGGGCGGTCGCGGCGCTCACCACGGCGGGGGCGGCGAGGCGCTGCTCCAGCCCGGCGCGGACCCACCCGCGCCGCGGGGCCAGTGCTGCGGGGAAAGAGCAAACATCGCTTCAGACAGGCGCCGAGGCCTCCCACTACCCCCGCCCCGCCCGGGCAGGCCCTCGCCGGACCCCAGGGCCGCCCCAGGACGGTGGGCGGAGGCGGAGAGGCGGCGACATCCTCAGCTCCCTCAGCGCAACCCCGTCACCTCTCCACAGGCAGCGGGCGCTGGGCGCCGCCATCTTGCCGAGCCGCCGCGGTGCAGCGCCCAAAACGTTCCCCGCGGAACTCGCTCCCCGAGACCGAGGATGGTGTTCCCTTTACTGCCGTGCCCCCGCCCGTCGTGCCCTGGGCCTGGCGTTCCGCGGGCGCGCTTTTCCCCTCTCCTGGCGTGTGCCCGCTGCCCGGAGAGGGGTAACTCCTTGCCGGGCGCTGGTTAAAAGCCTCCAGTTCGCTTCTTAACCGGCCTGAAAGGGGTCTCGGGGCAATCTCGGGGTTGTGTCATAGCGCCGCGAACAAAACTGCTGTTCCCGCCCCCGAACCAACATGGCGGCGGCTCCTGAGGGCTGAGGGCAGGGAGAGCCGCTGACATGGGCGCGTTTCCACCTGTTCCACCACGTCTGCTTGGGTGAACATTGTCAAATTAACGCGAACATCATCTAGTTAACGCTTAATAGTGTGAGCTCCGAGCCCCATGTAATTCCAGAATGGTATTTTCTGGCTGCCATCACTCCTCTTCCCTTGCAAATGGATTGGGATAAGAGTTGCCTGATCCACACTGCTCCACTCGTGAAGCAGCATCCACCTGCAAGGACATTGTTAACTGTCTCCTAAGCTTATAAGATACATACCACAAACTCTAATGGTTAAAGGGGGGGGCCTTTATTCAACACTAAAGCGCTTTTTTGACTAAAAACATCCCGATCCTGATCAATCCATGCCTAAGAATTTTTAAATCAGACATGTGTGGCTCTGCAAAATGAGTCAACAAAACTGATCCGCGTTTGTCCAATGTAACTCTATGCTCAGCATCCTGGGAAAGGATGGAGATGAGGAATTGTCAGGGTGACAGGAGGAAAAGGAACCCTTCTGAGTTAAAAAGCCTCAGTGAGAACTGACAAAGCATGAGTTTAGAACATAGGGTGGGGAACGGAATTATTTCGGATGGGCATTAGGACTCCCTAATGTTTGACTCCCACTGTGGTGGCAGATGTAACAGGAGACTTTAATGTGCAGGTAACGACCTGAATCCTTCACAGTCTTAACTCTATGACTCTGGAATCCCCTGGCAAGCCCCTGGCTTGTTAGACACAAAGTCTCTGCTGTGGATCGTGGATTTTGGGAGAGAAACATGAGCTCACGGTGATCGTGCGCCCATTCCCAATTATGCACTTGCTCCAAAGCCTGTTTCCTACCAACACAGGCACTTCCCACTCTCCAGGCATCCTTGAGTTTTTGAGTCCAGCACGAGCCCAGGCAGCTGCTGTAGAAAGAAAATTACAATGAAAAGTCCTCAGGCCTGATCTCTTGTCCCCCTCTGTGCCCCCCCAGCCACCTGCTGCTCCCTCAGACACCTCCCTCCACCTCCCTGACGCTTTTCTTTTCCACCACTGCTTTCCCACCTGGGTACACAGAGACCCACATCCCTCCCCGTGCCGGGGTGCTGCTTTTATTTTATTTTCCAATCCATCTTTTCCTCGCGTCCATCCCAAAGGGCTGCTGGTGCGTCCGGGAGACGACGGGGCGACATTTACCTGCTCTTCCCTGCTCCAGCCGCCCTCAGGACTCACGGGGGGGACCGTGCCACTGAAATCTGGGCGCCAAAACCACGCTTCCCAGCAGAGCAGCTGCCGCCTGCGGAGAAACAAAGGTGTCTGGCACCGAGGTGGACACGTCAAATCCCCTCGGAAAGGTGGACTCTTCCCTCTCGCAGCGCCGGGGGCGAGCGGCCCGCGAAGCCAAGCCACGTCCCCTTGGGCGCCGCAGCCCGGTGACAGCTGTGAAAGCCGGGGAGGGGGGGGGG